GTAGGTGTAAGCCGCGTCTTGTCCTTTCTCTCTGCCTCCCCCAGGCCCCTCCCTCGGGGGCCTTACACTGTAAAGAAAGGCGTACAGTCAGTAATGTAACAAATCGGCGTTGTTTGGGGCTGCGCGGGGGGCCGGCGGCGGCGGGTGGACAGGACAGCTGTGTCCCCCCCGCGCGCGCCGCTGTCCGGGCGGGGTCCGGCTGACTGGGCTGGGCGGCGGCCACCCTCTCGAGCAGCAGGCGACCGCTATCGGGAGCAGTCGCGGGGGCGGGGTGGGGCGGGGGGAGGCTTGCTTGTAATTGGCCGTGCTGAGAGTGTTTGGGAAAGCGGTGGTGAGGCACGGGGGAGGGCAGTTGTTGGCGGATCGTGGCGAGCTGTACCGGCGGCGGCTGCGGCAGCGCGGGGCGCGCGGCCTTATGCAAGAGTTCAAGTGCCGCGGCGTTTCCTCGTGCAAGGGCCTTATCAGCGAGGCGGGGAGCGCGCGGCTTACGGAGCTGTTTGTCCTGAGGAGAAGGACGGCAAGACGCAAAGTGGCGAGTTTTCTCTAAAGCCACCTTTTAATTCATAACGTGACGCACACAGAAAAGGCCTACTTACACTTTGTCACCCAGTGCCAAAGTGCGGAAATTTACTTTTACTTAAGTTCAACATTGCCTTGATCCAAAGATGAGGCTCAAGTAATCACAATGCTGATACCGATTTTGCATTGTTTTGCCGGTTTGAGCTTCTGCACGAGTCAAACATGAATGACTTGCGAACTATGTGTCATTTTTTTTGCCTTCCAAACGACTTTATTGCGTTGTTACAAATCAGTATACCCGAGTATACCCATATCTGTGTGCTGAGAGGTGCTCACGTCCGTAAGTCCACGTCATAAGCTGTCTTGATAAGGCTTGCTGCTCAAGTCATCGTTATTTTGATTGAGGATGCAATTCTGAGATGGCACGCTTAACGTGGGCGAATTTTGCTCTCATTTTGGGTCCGCCTTGGGGTGGGTGTAAACGTTTTAAGGCTTGTTCGTCTGTGCGAAGGTGTTGTCAGGGGCTTACAGCTTAACAGTCGGAGTCTGTATACAGAGACCCGCACTCCTTCCCGCTTCCCGCCGTCCTCTCTTCCGCGGGGCCTGCTCGCGCATATACCCCCCGATCTTTTGCGTAAGTACGAGATTGTCGGCAGATTGGACGCAATTGGCTCCTTGTAGGGTGGTCCGCGGCGGGCGGCCTGCTGCTGGTGGTGGTGGTGGTGCTGCCTTTATGGTCGACTTATTGATGCGTATCTTGAGTGAGGAGGCTGGGCGCTGTCGCGGCTGGGCGCGGCGCGGGCCGCCCGGCTCGCACGTGCATCGCGCCCCGCCCCGCCCCCCGCCCTGTGGCGCCGGTGCCACCTGGGGCCACGCGGCCCATGTATAAAACACAAGCCCGTGTCTTGGTGTAGGGATGGGGCAATTTGGTTCGGGCCAGAGGGAAGGTATAGTGCGCCGGAGCACGTGTCGGAGTACCCAAGCCTCCCCGCCGGCCGGGCCCCCACGCCCCCGCACACGCCCTCATCGCCGTGCCGCCTCTGCGGGCCGCCGGCCCCGCCGCCGCACAGGGGCGAACGGGATTATGCATGAAAGACAATCGAAGACCCGCGGCCCCACCTCGCCCCGCGCGCCGCCCCCAAGGACAAGAAAAGCGAGAACCGGGACGAGACCCTGTGACCCGGGGCCCCCCCTCTCGCCTGTCCACTTCGGCCCGACCTGACCTGGCTGGCTAGGCCTCCAGAACGAGGGCGAGGTTGATGATCAGTTGTATTTTTCGTCGCCTCCTTGATGAAATATTGGTGAGGCCTGCACCGGCGCTCGCTCGAGGCAGGCTCTTCTGCGCAACAGTTTCCATGGCCTGAGGATAGGGGGGCGGTGGACATCCATCATACGAGTGACGAGTGAGACACGATATGAGTATAGTTTTTGGCGCTCCATTACAATGCTCTACATATGCTGTTTTTGTGGGAGGGGGGCGGTTGATATACGGCTTTCTATAAAGTTACAAACTTGTCACATTTCGAGGGTCTACTTGCACGAATGCTTTACAGGCGAGAGGTGCTGTTATGGCCCTTCTCGGCCTGGCCCCCGCGCGCGCGTGTCTTTTGCGTGTGGACGGGCGGAGCGCGGTCCCCCACTCACACCACCACGGCCTCTGAGCCGGGTCGACTTAGGCCCTTCGCCTCTCCAAGAACGGCGTTTGTCATTCCCTTTTGAATTATCCATGACGTCCGAGACCGCCGCTGTCATGCTATGCCGCGCGCCCCGACAGGGGACGTTTGCTTGTGTCGCTGCGTACATCTAGTGTTTGCGAAAGGAGGGCAGAACGCCATTCTCTGGCATTGCATAAATAAGAGAAGAGAGCGTGCATTTTAAATAATCTATTTGCTGTCATAATATCACAATACACGGTTGTTATTTTTAATCTAGGTGGCAATGAATTCCAGACCAATGTATGTACATTTATGAAAATGTTTATCCTACTGGCAATAACATGTAATACAGATAATAGTGTGAAGAGATCACAGAAGGCTAAGGAAAATTTTATGGAATCATGGAATCGAATATAAATGAAATGAAGAACATGAGTCATTAATCAAGTCTTTGAGATTATTGAAAATAGTTATGAACCATAAGTACAATAAGAGTACACTGGGTCTGCTGGGCAACAGCAGACCCCGGAACATTTTCTAGTCGTAGTCGTAATACTGAACCATACGCACGTGTGTCGATGGGTTGCCTAATGCCACCTCCATCCTCGCGGCCGCTAAGGCCCCGACGGTTGGTGGAGATAGTCGAACCCACCCGCAAGCCTGCATGCCGTAACGTTTCATTACAAAATTTCCGATATCCGTACATCACTCTGTACTGCATGGCATCTTAACTTTTGGTTATGTTTATTTACAAATATTGAGTTGATAAACTATACCCCCTGTCAACTTAAAGTCTATTCCTTTACACCAGATCTTGGGTCACATATCACACAATAAAGCCATTTTCTCAATTTTACAGAATTATGAAAAAAAGGTAGTGCCAAAATATTGGTACAAACACCACTCTTGTTACAGTTATAGAGAAACAACACAAGTCATTTTGGAAACTGTTGACTGAGACTGATTTTCAGGCCTTAGTATGGCTGCACAGTGGTCAATGTAAAGTCAACAAGTGAACAGTGTCTCATAGATAGAATACTGATAAAAATACTTATATAGGTTGGTGCTGATCATTATGAGTTACTGTTAGCTAAGATAAGAGGTCTCTAAAATATTATTTATTTGGACTAGACCATTTTCATAAAAATGTGTTTCTTATAACAACAGAGCTATTCTTGTTAAACTTAAAATTTAACATGGTCAATACATAATCTTGACTGGGTTGAAATAATAAGAAACCAAGCGAATGATTGAAAGAGCAATATTAATAATAATAGAAAATTTTAGCAATGTAGGTATTTGAGATACACAGAAACATACATTCATGAGTGGAAATAGGTTTCAAATTCTAGTGTACCTCAAGACTTAGAGCAACTTGGTAAAAAGAAATCACAGTCAGTCACTCATAAAAAAACAGTTGCGTCACTGTATAAAAACAATTTTCAAAAAGCAGAGAAATGCACAAACACACATGCAAATATAAATACATAGATAGATAAATTAAAGCTAGGCTTTTAAATGAACAGCAAAACCACAAAAAGACTAGGGTTTAAGATCACCTTGAATTTCTTGAATAGGCTCAATCAAATAGAGGAGATCTTTGGAATTAAATTAAACTATCTTAATGTGCAGCAAAGGTGAAGTATCACATAACCATGACAAGCCTGGTGATTAAAATTAAAAAAGAAAACGTAGTCAAAACAACTAGACAGCTCTTGGTTCATTTTAAAGTTAAAACACTTTATGAGTCAGTGAAATTGTATGTTACAACTAGTGTGCATCAATCCAGAGGCATATTGAGCACATATTTGCATTATGTTGCCAGAAACCCGAGGGATTTTTTGACCCGAGAATGGTTTGGTAATGCAACTAACCACTTTCGCACACCTGTTAAAAGGACAGAACTGGTTACAAGTACAGCACCTGCAATGGAATACCGATTTGGAACTTCTTGGAAAAATAGGACTTGCCAAATAAATGCAAATACAATGTCAGCTGACCTAGCAATAGCTACAGGGCCAGCTTGTTCAAGCTGTAGAGATAAAGTAAGTAAAATTTGACCTCCAAAACTGAACAGAGCTAAAGCAACAACAAGAAGTCGATCAGTTCCACATGCAGGCCAGCACAGTTGGCCAAGTCCCCATGTTGTAAAAAGAGTTTGGAAAAGTGCAAACGTTCCAAAGTTGGTCATTATGACTGAAAAATGAAGTCCTTTCAAAGCACGAAGAAGGACATATGCATTAGCACCAAACAATGTTGCACTAAAGGCAGCTACTGCTCCCCAAACATTAGTTGCCTCAGATTCACTGTTTTCAGCTGACAATGCAGGAACACTGTTTCCAAAAAGCATAGGGGGACGAGTTATCAAGACTACTCCAATAAGAGTTAATGCTACACAGATGACATTCCATAGCCCACATGGCTCCTTCAGAAAAACGCGAGCAAAGATTGCAACAAAAACAGGTACACTGAAAACTATCACCTGCAATAGAAAAAAAAACTATTAAGTAAAAACATAATAATTAGAAGACGACGGTGATTTAAAGTGGAACAGTGTTTAACTTACTGAGGCATCAGCAAGGGGCATTAGTCGAAAGGCATAAAAACTTAACATCAGCCCTGTTGTTCCAACAAATGATCTTAACAGTAGCATGATCCTCCTCCCCTTCGGATAAACATGGTCGCCCCTCCATATTACAATAGGAATTGTCGGAAGAAGGACACCTACAAACCGACAAGCAGCTAGTTCCATGGGATGAACATGAACCTGTAAAATATGAAAAGAGAACATTTTCACACTGATGTTTGACTTCTTCATCTCATAATATACAAATGAAAGAAAGACACCTACCAAGCCTTTGACAATGACAGAGCACAGAGAAAAAAACAAAGATGATAATGTTGCAAGAACCAATCCAAGGTACGGACACTGTCCAAAGGAGGAGAGCCTCCAGAATTTTAAGCAGCTTGGACCAGTGGGTGAAAAATGACGAACAGCAATATTTCCATTTGAAAGACTTCCTCTGCTATTCCTGTTAGTATTTAATCGCATGTACAACATCATATCTCCATCATCACCTCCACACCTGCCCATCATTCCAATGTCTTGGTCGTCATCTTCTTCATCGTCTTCTTCATCAGAATGGACTAAGTTATTAAGCTCGACAGTTTCCCCCATGGTGATGTATTTGAGTTATGACCTGTCAAGATTTAAAAAAACAACAAAAATAAGGTTTTAAACAGATACTTTTGGTTTATTAATAGTAATGGAACGTATCGGCCACTTTACGTGCCTTGAGATTAATATTTTACTTAAACCAAATAACTAAATGAACGATTTGAGGTTATAGGTCATAATTAATCTTTTCTCATTGAGTTGCATTTACAGTTCAAATCACAAGAGATAAAAAGAGAAAACATATATGATCGTTTTAGGAACTCAAATGAAAGATATAAAATCTTTAGCTACAACAATATTTGCTGAACTCCAGCCGGGACTTTCCGGGTTGTTCCGGGGTTGGCTATTGATCAGCTGTCGGATGACAGCTCTCTCACTCTCTCTCTACCGTACACGGCTTTACAAACAAACAGCTGACTGAAGTAAGAGAGCGTCTTGAGAAAGCCAAAGGTTTCAGCAATTACTTACAAATTTAACGTAATAAATGTCACTGCAGGCTTTAGGTATTCTTTGGTTCACATATTGATTTTATTTGTGACCTGACCTGCCCTCCTTCGTCTGCTGCCGGCCTGCGCCTGCGATTGTTTGTGTTTCTTGTGTGGGCTGTGGGCTGGACTTCTGGCTTCTGCTTCGCCTTGGAGCACAACAAGGAAATACGATGAGGCTGTTCCGCGTTACCAAACTATTTCATAGGAATTTCCTGCAGATCTCTTATCGATATTCTACCATACAATCGTATCAGAATGTGAGGTAAGATAATGTCTGTTTCAAAAATAAAATTTAGAGGAGGGATACCTTATATCTGTTCTGATGAATTCATATTGTGGCACTGCTAGGTTATACTCTCTCATTGTTCATTGTTACTGCCAGCAACAATTAATTGTACTTCTTAAATAACTATTTGTTCAGTCATTCATAATCCCAATGTTTTTATGAACGAAACATCCCGCTAGCATTAGTTGTTAAATTTATCAACCTAAATTGATATTAGTTCACAACTGTACGGCTAACCCAATAGTGCATAGGATCTTAAACAGATCTTCTAAAACTTTCCAGACTTGCCGAAGTTGGGCGACTTGACACACCAAAGGTAAAGGGTGAATATGACACTGGGCAATTATTTCTGCACCGTGTCTTTGGATACAGAGGTGTGATTTTATTTCCATGGCTTGCCAGAGTATATGATCGTGATGTGCCTACTAAAAAAGACAGGTATTTGAATTTTCATATTTATTTAACAGTCATTTAATTACGAATGACCAACTGAGCTTATAAAAAGCTGTTCTTTCCACTCCCAGCACTGATGATGGGAATACTTCAAATCATGTAGGTAAAGAAGTGAAAGGGAGAACCCATACATTTTATCAGGTTCTTATTGATTCAAGAGACTGTCCCTTCATTGTAAGTACAATTATTACCTTTCTTGCACTGTGTGAAAATAATGTAGGATAAATGTCATAAATGTCATCATAATAAAAGTGGGAAGACACATGTTCATAGTTTACATATTTGTCTCAATTTGCACAGCGAGCTCAGACAGAAGCTGTGACTTTCTTGGGAACTCAAGAATCAAGCAGGAGTTTATATGCTATTCCTGGGTTAGATTATGTTGCCCATGAGGACATTCTGCCCTATACAACAACTGAAAAACAGCCCCTACAGCATGAACTATTTGATAAATTCCTTGACTATTATCCTGAAAGAGGTAGGTTGTACTCGAAGATAATTTACAAACTCCTACAAGTATGTGTTTGTTTGAAGTCAACTTTGTAGAAAAGATTTAAAGGCAAACTCTTTATTCTTTCTTTAAGATCCACCATTTGGAGCCCAAGAGACCCTGAGGGCCTGGCAAAAGAAAAATCATCCATGGCTAGAGCTGTCAGATGTGCACAAGGAGACAACTGAAAATGTTAGAGTAACTGTTATACCATTTTATATGGGTTTTCGTGAGTCACAAACTACATCAGTATTTTGGGTAAGTAAGATATCCTTCATCTCTCTCACTTTAGTGTTTTAAAGGCTTTATAACTTATTAATGTTGCTTTTGCAGTGGCGGTATTGCATACGTTTAGAAAATCTAGGTGAACTGACAGTACAACTTCGAGAACGCCATTGGCGGATATTTAGTTTATCAGGAACATTAGAAACTGTTCGTGGACGAGGAGTTGTAGGACAAGAGCCAGTTTTGTCCAAAGCATTACCTGCGTTTCAGTATAGTAGCCATGTCAGTTTACAAGCTCCAAGTGGACATATGTGGTAAGACAAACTATATCAATGCTGCAAGACATCTAGCTAATCTTAGATTGTTAACAAAATTTGTTTATTTTTAGGGGCACATTTAGAATGGAGCGAGAAGATGGTTACACCTTTGACTGCAGAATTCCACCTTTCTCATTAGAGAGTAAAAATGAAGATGGATCATCCCCATCAAATCCTGCTTAATGAAATCATTATTACCTGCAAATTTGTGCAACTTTCAATTGTTTAATGCCATGATCATATCGATGAAGATGATAACATAGTCACCGTAAATGATTTTAGTTATGAGTGATTTTTTAAAAATGCAATCACTTCATTACTAAGTTTGCTGGAATTTACTCTTGTTGAAAACAAATTAATATCTAGTTCCTTATTTCAACAGAAACCACGGGGTAGTAAGTTAACTGTATGCTGTATTTTCACATCCATGAAGCAATTTGTTAAGTTCTAATGTGGCTAATGGCGATGATTATAGGTGTGTAAGGATGTGGTATACCTTTAAATAAATAAAACTGATATCTAATTTTGCATTTAGTAATATTGTCAAACAGAAATTATCAACAATCAGAGAAAGAGCTCGGCTCTATATAAAAATATAAACTTGACTTCGTACATTAGAAACATACAGCAAAAATTTTGCTACAAAAGAAAAAAAAATATATATCTTAGCCCACAAATCAGGGCATGAATATGAACTCAAACAGAAAAATAACATTTCTTGAAAATGATCACAGAATGAACTTATGAGTTAAATGTAAAGTGAAAATCTAATGGTAACATATTTTTAATTAGCAACTGGTGCTTTTATCCCGAAAGAATTCTCAGCACCTTTAAAAAAATTTTGCTCTACAACATAACGAATACATTGAAGAATAATATTTCTTTCTTGTTGGATGTCTGGTGCAAGAAGCTAGAAAGCAAAAACCCCTCCAGATTAAAATTTGTTTTGTAAAATGACAGAAAAACAAACAGATAAATGACGTTATTTCCTTACCTTCTCCAAAAGAGTTGGAGGCCTCTTAAAATTATGCCTGCTATTTTGGAAAGAATCCTTCCCTTTTCCTCTCCGTCCAAAAGGTGGCCTTGACTTGTTTCCAGACTGTGGGAGACTATTTTCATCACATAACTTTTTATCTGTCTCCGACATAAGGGGTTGAACTGATGTGTCATTTTTAGCCTTCTTTGGCTCACCATGTTTGGCATGATGCCTTTTTCTTTTCCTTGTGACTTCAGGTTTATCTGGTTGCTCAAGACTTCCAATGTCATTGGAACAGGTCGGTTTGGAAATTGGCATTTCTTCTGGAGCACTGCCATCACTCTCTGACCCATTTTCACTCTGATGCATTGAATCATGTTGGGAACTAATAGAGGTTTCATTTACTTGAACATCAAAACTTTCTTTGATTTGAGATGTATCCACACAAGGAGTTCCTGCAAAAACATGTAAGTGATGTTTAAGTAACATATGTCAGTTTGATTTATTAATCATTTGGAGTTAAGCAACACCTAATTTTACCATTAACTTCAGCAGAATTTTTATCAGGAACTAAATTGTTATGGTCATTAGCTTCATCCTCCGAGGATCCAGCTCCATATCCACAGAGGGTATTGAGCGCCCCAGAAGCCGCCATTGCTTCCTCAATCTTATCCTGATCAGATTTAAAATTTCCTAGAGCAAGAGGAAATGAGAGGGTAAAACAGACATAGAAAATGACAAAAAGTAATTATCAAAAGATTGACCAACACACCAGTTCCTGGAAACTTGACTAGTTTTCCTCGGTTTACAATCTCAATGTCCTGAACAACTGGAATAGGAAATTGTGGTCTCCACTCAGAAGCTGACAATTTTTCTACCTTCACTTCACTCAAATTCGGATTTGGTACATTAGAAGTAGGATTGGGTCTACCTCTTCCTCGTCCACTACTCCCAGCAGGACCACCGCGTCCTACAACATTTTGATTCCATTTCAATTGTTTTCTATTGGAAAGCAACAACAACAACAAAATGTTCAAGAAAAGAAAAAATGCTCTAACAAACCTCGAGAATTCCCAGAACGGTTTTGATCAAAGCCTAAACGTTCTCCACGCTTGATCATTTCCTGCTGTTGCAATTGTCTGACTTCAATATTTGCCTGAGAGGGATACTTTCTGTAAAGTTACAAAATAAATTAATAAAAAGTGTCTGAAGGTAGAATCCTGAGCAGAAAAATCCATTTTTAATCACACTTACTTCTTTCGTTCTGCTCTCCATTTCTCTGTATCATCATTACTGATCATCCTACGATACAAGCCTGTATCATGTTGCATCCGAACATGATTATCTACAACTTTTGTATGAGCAGTAAATTTGCAGCCATCAATACCACATGTTCTATGTTCAGACAAATGCTCTTGAAGCTTAGCATCATTTGGAAATGATCTATCACAGGACTCACAGTAAAACAAGGAAAAAGGTACATCAATCCTCTTGTTGAAATTTCCACTGTGCCTATTTTTCTGATTATATGGTTTGGAGGGTGAATGGGTATAAGAATTAGGAGATGGATGGACAGCGATGGAATACTCATTTTGATGCTGCTGGTAGGGCACAGAATACTGCTGGTATGATGCATATACTTGCTCATACTCCTGGTTGTACCATTGGTTATATCCCTGGCTGTATCCCAGATCCTTTCCCGGAGAACCATAACTTTGTGTGGCTGAATTATAGTACCCATTATTACTATACTGGCTGCCTGTCTCCTGAGGCTGATACTGTTGAGATTCTGTTAGCCCAATAGAACCGTGATTTTGTGTAGAAGGACTATAATATCCATAATAATCACTCTGGCCGTTTGTTTCTTGAGCCTGATATTGATGCGATCCATCAGTTGAAGCATTAGAACCATGGTATTGCGAAGCATAATTATAATATCCATAATAATCATACTGGTTGTTTGTTTCTTGATTTTGATCAGCAGATGTATTGGCTGACATAGTTGAAGAACTTGCATCAGTCTCTTGGGTTACCTCAGTTGTTGCTGTAGAGGTGTAGTAACTGACATAGGGGTCTTGACACCAGTTCCACTGAGCATCATAAGAAATTTCACTTGCATTTTGTTCATCCACTCCATCTACATGGGCTGGATTATAACTTTCCTCTGCCCCATGTTGCCAGTTATTCCCATCCTCACAGTCGTCATCTTCCTCCTCCTCCTCCTCCTCCTCCTCTTCCTCATGAATATCATCATGATCAGCTTCATCAATGACCTAAAAAACCAATAGAGGTCACATTAACTTTTAAACCAGAACAAAGATAAGACTACAACAGCTACAGAGGACACACATCAAAAACCATTGAAGGAATCATGCCCTTGTCATAAAAAGTAAATTCTTATGGGCATCTCACAAAAATCACCATTCTTTTGTATTTGTTTTATTTTTTAAAAGTATGTTTTAATGTTTAAATTAGAGATTCAATATTGAACTAGACGAGCACACAATATTGGTAACAAACCTGCAGTTCCAGGCAACAGCTGTAGTGGCACCCAGAATCCAAACGGTGAATATTACAAAAAATGTAAGGAATTCAGTGATAGGCAACCAATGAACCCCACGATGAAGCAATTGTAATTTCTCAGTTTAACTGACTGATGTGTGTCCAACCATGCAGCTGAGTGTATTGAATCAGATTATATGGAGTTGTTTAGATCAGATAGGTGTGGTAATTTTGCCCTCATGAGAACATGGGACCAGTTTTTGAATTGACACAACTTTCTTTCAGCACCATGTTTATCTTGTAATGATAGGGGAACAGCAATAATCATCTGAATTAAGTTTTGAGAAAGTATGAAGTAACATGATTTTGAACTAAGCATTTGGTGTGCAGAATAGGAATGCCCGGCAGAAGCTCAAAACAGTGGGAGGAGTAAAATAAGATTCAGATATTTTTCAGTTGATCTGATATCAGAACAAATGTAACAAAGGATTAGTCAGGAATGTGCCTGAAAAATAATGCCTGCCTTTACAGAGATGTCAATATGACACCACATGAAAAGAAGTTGCGAAGTAAGAGTGATTTCCATTTTAAATCAAGTTATTGGCCTTTGTGTGTAGATAGTAAAAGAAATATTAAATGAATTGTTTTGTTTTTAATAACAGTAGAAGTTACTGTAATAAAAGGTGTCCTCTATACATAGCAAAAGTGATTCTGGTGAATCATTGATAAATCACTTAAACACTTAAACGGAGAGATATTTATCAGTTACTAGGACACAAATTAACGATGCTTCAAGCTAAAACCATAGTGAAGGTCATGTACATAGAACTGCTCAGAGCTCAGGTGGATATAAGTCTCCGGGTGCATTCTCCACAGGTTGTTTGAGGGTACAAGCACTGCTTGTATCTTTTTGAAGAGGGCATTATATTTGGAACATTACTTGGCAGGTCGTTTTTAATTTAACTTTATTTGGCTGCATGTTACATTCATACAAAACAGCAAGGTTTCTCACTTGCCATTTGCAATAAATTAAAAAAGATATAAAGAAAATCAGAAAATTGTCTCACAGAGACAAAATGAAAGGGTAAAAGTTTCACATATAGGTAGTTGCCAATAAGTGATAAACTATGGTCATAAAAATTGAATTGTTCATTGCATTTTATGTTAAAAATTGTACTTATTCAGGTCATAATTATACAACTACAGTTCATTCATGATGAAAAGGTCCTCACAACAATGGGCTTCAAAGACAAAATACATAAGGACAACAAGTAAAAAGAGGGAGAGAGAGAAAGAGAAAGAGAATAATCTCTAGACTTGGTGCAAAAATTTCAAATAGTTCCTTTGAAAGAAACGTCAGTTCAATAAAATTAGGTGGTATCTTGGTGGGTGGAGCCAACACAAGATATGTACTACTTATTACACTGATACAATAACCAACTAAAGTACAAGGTCAAACAATACGTTAAATTAATGATGCAACTAGAAGTAAAGAAGCAAGACACTAAAATGTTACTCAGACAAGATGACAAATCATGAAGGGAATCATAGGCAACAGTTCCCTTGCAATGAAACATAAATGTCTTTTCAGAAGAAGACAACAACACTGGTACGTATGGTGTTGGGGTATAGCACCAAAATTGGGCACATAAAACACACACAATGTAGCGAGTGTTGAGTAAACACCAGTTGTGAATAGATTCTTATAAAAGTGAATCATTCTAAAAGAACATTTCATCAAAATTTTAAGATAATGCTATATGTGCATTTCCAGAAGTAATGTAATAAAAATAATAGTAAAATAGTCAATATCACCAATTAAAAAAAGGAACATGATCACAAAATAAAGTTGATGAAGACCATCTCAATAGAAAATGAGATATACAGCTAGGGACACATTTAACTTTAGGTACACTCATAAAATACTTGTTATGAAGTCAACTTTCTGATAAGGAATTTGATTTAATTTCAGTTACAATAAATACTAGAGCTAAATCCGAGACAGATTCTCACAATTTCTTCTCAGCCACCTGAGCCAAGATTTTATCAACATGCCAAGAGGCTATAAAGAAAAGGGACTTTAGATAATTTATTTCTAAACGGTATTTCACAGTTGAAAGAGGGGGTGTGAAGAAGCTTTTCTGTTTCGCAACATGAAATCATTTCTGAACAAATAAAAATTGGTTGATAAGGTCTCATGACAATGTGACTTGAAAATTTTGACACTGTCCACAAACACAATGAGAAAACTAATTTTATTGCTATGTACCTAATAAAACTGAAATGCACCATTAACTGATAGAATAAGGGGTTGCAATAAATCATGTGCTAACAAAAATAAAAGGGAAAAAAGAACAAACTGAGAATAGAGGGCAAAGAAGAGAGGGAACCTGAGTATGCCTAAGCACACATACCGCCTTGATGGCAAATGGAAATGTACAGCTGAAGCATCATATAACCTTCAACTATTGAGGAGACATGTTGAATGGAAATGTAAACCCAAATGACCATGTGATAGATCTTGGCAATATTCAAAATTAATTGACATTTAAGGAAAACTGTGATAGATATGTAGAACATTTTCTTTAGAGCATTTTAAAATTTAAAACACAATAATGATTTTTTTAGAGATGTTAAAATAGTGATACCATTTCATAGTGCTCACCTAAATTATCTCACAAGAGATGATTGATACGTAATATGGAACTACTCATATGTATGCTCTTAAATGGTGGAGCCATGATCAAAGTTGAAAAAGCTGATCTCATTTGTCAGTCAACAAATGGTTTTAAGTTGATAATTAATGTATTTTTGAGTGTATTTGCAGAGCATGGCCAAGATACAGGAGTGTAATCAGTGAGTTTTATGTAGTGATGAAACATGTTGATTCTGAACAAATAAAGCATGGGGAAGCACGGCCATTCAAAGTGACACTGACCACAAGATGACAGAAAGCAGCCTGACAAGCCCCACAGAGATTTAGTGGGTATTCATTAAATGTTAAGAACTGTGTGCAAAATATTAAAGGAAGTCTAAGCATAGCACCAAGGAGATGAAATAAAGCATGCAGCACTGGTAGGAGGGCGTACACTTGCTTCAAAAGCCATTTGTAAAAATAAGATCGTAAGAAAGGTGAAATTCCTACAGCCTGACAAGTTTCTAAGAACCAACTGATAACACAATTTAAGTATTATGCATAGCTGAACTAAGGTTCTTTAAGTAATTTTAACCCAAAGAAAGTGTTACATCACAGGCAACCAGACCAATAAAACACAGCAAACTTGGACTTAAACAAATGTGAGAAAATTCCTCTCAGAAAGTTCAAAAAAGGAAAGAAAAAAAACAAACTATGTACATACAATGAATACTTCAATATTCAAGAATAGAATTTGGCGAGGCAGAGCAGTCTTCAACTGACTATAACCCTGAACCCCAACTGTAAGCCTTGTTTAAGCAAATCGTACACAATAGTAATTCAATGACATTCTCAAATATCATTCTGAGGAGAAAATAAATCCACACAATCTGACGGACAGTTGGAATTTACTGCCTGAAAATGCAGAACATATTTCTGCATACAGATAACAACTTTGCATGATTATAATCTGCAGATGTATGGCCATGGCACACTCTAGTAATTGTTATTATCACTTTAATAATTATATATTCACTGTCTAATCTTGCTATGCACACAAAATATCTACTACAAAACTACAATGACATCTGAAGGGAAAGACTGTCAGGCTTCTTGCCATATTTACACGCATATAAGGCACTTCTGCTTATAAGCCACACCCAACATTTTTGGCCCCCCTACAACAGGTAAATGCATAATAGCCACAGGGCGGATTTTGGCACTGCGAGAAGAGCTAATTGTAAAGGGTTCTGCTTACGTGCATGTAAATATGGTACTTTGACACATCTAATCAGGTCACTACTAAACACTGGGTTATTTTGAAAAAAAAAAAAAAATGGCTTTTGAATTCTCTACAGACAAAAACAATTTAAGTATTACCTTTGAGACTTAAAATGAAACAATCGAATTCCAAATCCAAATTGAGAAAAAATGAGTGTCAAGAACCAGTGAGTTCCAAACAATATTAAACTATATGCAAATTAAACTGATTTACAACCATAGGATCTATGAGCTTTGTCAAATTTTGAAGACAAAAGCAATTACAGACACACACTCCCAAATGAAATAGGAAGAGAAATAATTCTCCAGCACAACAAAAAGCAGATCAACAATAAAATTATAGTAGAGATACATGGCTGGATTGAGCTTCAAGCAAACATTAACAAGGAGCTGAGTTAAAAACAGATTTGATTAAAACCAAAAGAAGTATGGGAGATTGGGATGAGATGTCAAAGTTACATGACATGTGCTTTAGAACTGCTTCTGGTGGCAGATTTTCCTCCTACACCAAACAGTGCAGGAAAAAAGCTTTACAAATGTGATAAAAATAGATGAACAAAACTACAAATGCTCCCATGACCAAACTGAAACAAACGGACTAACTCTGAGTTCATTTGAAATTAATTCAATCTAGAGAATCTCTTTATTGCTAGAATAAACTCCAAATACATGTAAATATTAAATAAAGGAGATGTCTGTAGCTCTTAATTTTATACACCAAATACATTTTATGCAATTGGTAATAGAAGTAAGCCAATGATGAAAACACAAATATTATTTATTAGCTCAAAAGAAACATGTGAGAAAAGCTCTCACTTAAAATACTATGGCTGTTCAACGTTTTCCACATTTTCATCTGTTTCCATGTTTTCAACAGGCAGAACATCCTCAGTTAGTGGAACATCCCCAACTTGTAATATGCTTGCTGTGGGCGGGACACTTTCATTTTGAGGAGTACTTTCAGCCTGAGGGCTGCATTCAGCCTGAGGGGCGCTTTCAGCCTGAAGGGCATTTTCAGCCTGAGGTGCGTTTTCGGCCTGAGGGGCGCTTTCAGCCTGAGGGGCGTTTTCTCCCTGAAAGGCGCTATCAATTTGTGAAACACTCTCAATTTGTTGAAGAATTTGAACTTGCTCATCTTTAATAGCATTGTCGACTTGTTCAATTTTCTCAACTTGTGCAACTTTTGTGGAACTAGCCAGTGTGGGTTGACTCACCTCCTCTGGATGGCTCCCAATGTATTCCAATTTAGCTTCATTCACCATGACTGCTACTTTTTTCTTTTGCTCTTTAAATGCCTCCCAGTCCTTGACATCCTTGCTTGCTCGAGCGTCAGCATGCAATTTATGCTTCTTGACGATCTCTGGTCTGATGGCATCGGTTACCCATGGTTTGACCAACTCAGCAGCTTCCAGCTGAAAAACAAAAGTCAGAGCAATTGGTGAAACAATGTGTCTTAATTTAAATTTGAATTTAAACTCAAGAATCATGAAAATGTTGCAGATCTTACCTCAGCCTGAGGGCGATTAGTTCCACTTTTGCCTTTCATTTTTCTGTTTTTACCACCTTTACCAGCCATGCCTCCCCTTCGTCCTCCTCGAGCAAGTCTCATCATAAACGGAGGACCCATGGGTGGGCCCAGGGGTGGGATTCCTAGTGGACCTGGTGGACCAGGATGTCCTGGGGGTCCAAACCGAGGTGGCATCATGGGTGGCCTCATCATGCCCCCTCTGCCTCTCATCATGCCAGGGTGAGGGGGTCGGTGGGGCATGCCAGGAGGTCCCATTCTGTGGCCGTGGTGACCCATGTGGCCATGAGGTCCATGGGGGCCAGGAGGAGGACGGAAGCCTGGGGGTGGCGGCCTAACCATGCCGTGGGGCCCGTGGAGTGGTGGCCTTGGGGGCCTCATGCCTGGGGGTGGCGGCCGCACCCCGGGGGGCTGATGCATAAGTCCCGGGGGAGGCGGCCTCATCCTTGGGCCTCCCATGGGCGGCCTGTGTCCTGGCGGCCCCATCAGGGGCACGGGGCCAGAGGGCCTCATCATGGGGATTCCGCCACGAGCTTTCTTGTGCACACCACGGCCGCTGCCTCGACCGCCTCCACGGTGCGGTCCGCCGCCTCGCGCCAGACCCATGCTTGATCTAGAAAACTAGGCACTCACTTGCCGAAGAACCACGGCACACTTCACTATTGCATTCAAAACAAACACTAAACAAGTACTGTTGTGAACATGAAAACGAGGGACGCTGCTCGTGGGTCGATTATTTCAGGGCACGTAGCTGCGAGAGGGCTGTGAGCGCAGACGAAAAAAACAAATGCCGGCGAAATGTTCCTTGTGGGTTTCTGATATTTTATACGTATATTTTTTACGAGATTGCACATTTTATATTTTTTCAAGTTCTTTTGTGTTATTAATTTCACCCACAAAGAAATTGCATGGGATGAAATAAATTCGCATACCGTGTTCGGGGTCATAGAGCAGTAGCAATAGCGAACCGTTATCTTTCTATCGAAGCACTGCCGGTGAAACCAGCCCGTAACGTTCCGAAGAACACTGAGTGGGAGCCTTAGTGCGCATGCGTCAGAGCCCGATGTCGTCTGCTACTCACTGGACGCGCGGTCGAAGCGTTTGTGCGTTTGTTGCCTTTTTCTGAGTCAGAAAACGACACATAGTTATGACTAAAACATGCTGTGCATGCAAACTGGAATACAGCAAAAGCAAAACTAAGAGAGCCGGTAGAGAAGGAAACATTGTCAAGAGATATTTCCGTTTGCCACCAGTAGAAAGTAAAAGTAAAACGTACAAATCAGGAGAGAAACAAGCACTTCTTCCACGACGACGCTTACTCTGGTTGAAACGAATATTCGGTACTTTTTCTGAAAGAAAACTACCAAAGGAACTATGGATTTGTGAGGATCACTTCGTGACAGGTAATTATGATGTTTTTCGGGCGTATTCGATTGTATTGAATGAAGCACTATGTAAATACTCAATTCGCCGGTACCTTCCTTCTAACCTCTTCAAGGAAGTAATGCATGAAATGCTTTTTCGTTTTTTTGTCGACGCCTGTTGTGATTATTAACTGTACCATCCTCTACCTTTTTATTACAGGTTCTCCCAGTTCCATCCTTGATGTTGACAACCCGGACTGGGCCCCAACTTTAAAATTATCTCACTTTGTACCTGTGACTTTACAGCTCAACCAAGAGGAAATCTTAGTGAACCGAGAGGAGGTCCTGGTCAACCAAGACGAAATCTTGGTCAACCGAGAGGAGAACTTGGTCAACCATGTTCAAGTTGTGAAGGAATCACAAGTTGGAAGTACTCGAAATGAATGTGAAGCAGACCCTCGTCCACAAAGTCCAGGCTGGGTCACCCACTATAAAGTTTCTCTGAGTTATTCACAGATGATGGAAGTATGTGATGAATTAAAAATTGAGGTTCCGGCAGGGGATCATCCATCTGTTCTGAACTTCTCAGAGTCCTCGCAAGACTTATTTCACCCTGATGGTGACTCAGAGACTGAAGATGAAGTGTTCTTTGATGCAGAAGATGTGGAAGTTGGGTTGGGCCTTTCTATTGGAACGCAGACTGTGAAAAATTGGAAAGACCGTGCAACCCAAACTAAACCACAACTGAAAGGGCGTGCAACACAAACTGACATAAAAAAGTATCGAACAATAGCCACTCAAACTGAACTGTCCATGGATGACATTGAAAAAACTGAGAACCTTTTAGATGATGCTCAGTGCAAGATTAATGCACTTTCAATTAATCAGGACTGGTACAAAGATGATGACGTCACTCAATATTACACAGGTTTACCCACTTACGGTGTTCTGATGGCCATCTTTGAGGTTGTGGCTCCGTATCTTACTTACACTTCTCGGAGTACACTGACCAAGTTTCAACAGTTTGCTTTGACATTAATGAAACTAAAGCTGAATTTGTATTTAACGGACCTTGGTTATCGCTTCAATGTGTCTAAGTATACTGCAGGGCGCATCTTTACAAAATGCATTGAAGTTATGTATTGTAGACTTAAAAGAAATGTGTTTTGGCCTGAGAGACCCCTTCTACAGGCTTCAATGCCAGATTGCTTTAAGGAATCATTTGGGGATTCTGTGACTGTTATAGTTGACTGCTTTGAAATATTTTGTGAAAAGTCTTCTAATCTTATGGCAAAATCTCAAACCTGGTCTAACTATAAGGGCCATGAGACAGTAAAGTACTTGATTGCTGTGACACCCCAGGGTTTTATCTGCTTTGTATCCCAGAGCTACGGTGGGAGAAGTTCTGATAAATTTATAACTGAAGACTCAGGTTTCCTACGTTTCTTGACTCCAGGTGATACAGTTATGGCTGACAGGGGTTTTTTGGTTGAAGATAGTATTAGCCTGCATAAGGCTACACTTGTAATGCCAGGATTTTTGAGAGGATTGTCTCAGTTAAGTCCGGATGACGTAGATACTACAAGAATAATAGCTAATGTGCGCGTCCATGTAGAGAGAGTTATTGGCATGCTCCGCCAAAAGTACAGAATTATGTCCAATCGAGTACCAGTTCGTTTGCTTAACTATGAGGAAACTGATGTTGGTATGGATGAAATAGCCGTGGTCTGTTGTGCATTAACTAACTTTTCTCCAGGCATTGTGGACTAAGGAGAAGATCACATGCATGTGTATATTTCTGAAACCAGGTAACATTTGGGAGGGTTTTTCCTGGCCAGTTTTCCCAATCAACATTCCATTTCCCCGTCCAATATTTTTCCCCTGACTTCTCCCTGACTTGCAGGTGGCGTAGGCAGCCACCCTGTACAAACAAGTAGAATGCAAGGCATTTTTGACTGAGTTAGTTTACATTGCCCTGGAACAAAAATTAAGAGACAAAGTGGCAATTAAGGGGCAAGTAAGTGTCACCGAAGTGTCAAAGAGCCCAAGGTGGCATTTAAGTGTCATACAAATGGCAATGAAGGTTCTATTTTGGGAGTGGCACTGAGGATACTTTAGAGTTACATTAAGGATCTAAAGTGGCAAGTGTAAGGTCCCAAAAGTTTGTGAAACAGGTTGCTGCAAAGGCAAGAGTTCAACTAAGTAAAATAATAATCAAAAAAATTCAATAAATGTCTTTAAATTTATTCCAAAGAACTATATCCCGTATAGATCACAATGAAGGTTGTTTTAACTTACAATACAAAAACAATCCACTTTACTAAAACAAAGGAACAATACTGTTTTGACATGTCTGTGCAAGGCACTTAAACAAAATCAACAAAATAAATAAAATAAATACAGATATCAGTACTGTAAGTGCAAATAATTGCACAAGACAAGATTGTTACATAAATGATAACACAACAAAACATTTGTTTGGTATGGCTAGGCAAGACGCACAGTACATTATCAAAACTAACTAAATGCATACAGATATCAGAACTGATCGTGCAAATAATTGCAGAAAAGGAGATCATTAGACAAACGATATCACATAAAATCATTTGTTTGGCACAACTGTGCAAGGCACATGATTAAAAATAACTACTCAACAGTAAATATATACATCTACAGTATGAGCAAATAATTTCAAAAGAGATCATCATCATTAAATAAATGATATCACAAGAAAACATTTGTTTGGCACGATTGTGCAGGGCACATGAGCAAAATCAACTAAAAGATAAATACATATATGAGTACTGCGCAATTAAAAGCTAAAGATGAGATCATAAAATAAATGATAACACAACAACATATTTGTTTGGCATGGCTAGATAAGACATGATCAACAATAACCCATTAATACTTATAGGTATCAGCACTGTGCAAATAATTGCAAAAGATGAGATCATAATTTCATGATATCACAAAGAAACCCAAAACCCAAATATTACTGACAAAATTTATTCATACCACTTACTCTGTTTAGAATGTTTCCTAAATTTAGAGTGCTCAAGGGCTTCCTATCAGGTCCTGGTGTTTGTGTCTGCCCATTCGATGGCTTCTTGATTATTACATAGCGAGTTTTGGCAGGAGTGTTTGAACTTGAGGTGTTTGGAGTCTTAAACTTGGGTGGGATGAAAGTTGTGCGAATGATGGGTGTAGATGGGCATGAAACAATGGAAATGGAAGAGGACGGAGTCTTGGGTAGGATGGTGGGTGTACATGGGCTTGAGGGAATGGGAATAGGAGTAGAGGGAGTCTTGGGAAGGGTAAAAGTTCTGCGAATGATAGATGGTGATGCTGAAGTGGAAGGAGTCTTAGGTAGGATGATGGGTGTGCATGGGCGTGAAGGAATGGGGATAGGCTTGGAGGGAGTCTTCGGTAGGGTGAAAGTTGTGTTACTGACACCTGATGCTGCTGATGCAGGCGAAGAAATGATATTGGAAATGTTGACTGGTGTGTGGTACTGGGGGACACTTGAATTTGGAGGCAACAGTAAGGGGGAGGCAGGTGGAATATTTTTCTTATTTTTCTTACGTTTAGCAACACCAGTGATCTTTCCATTCCCTCCTTTCTGTCGCTCCTCTTCAAGCTCCCTCCTTTCTTGTCTGGTGAAATACTTTCCAAGAAGTTCAGGAAGTACAATGTTCCTGATGTAGAATTTAGCTTTGGCAGACTCACGCTCCCAAAACTGAATATCTGGTTCTAGTCTTATGATGATTGGTTTGTTTTTTGGAGTCCAGACAACAAAGTCACTGTAAGCTCGCCCTGTTAGAAACAACTGGCACTGAACTTGATAAAAATAGGCGTGAGTCTCCTTCAGTTTATACACCAGGTTGCCAGTTACTTCATCAAGCACTTCCCCAACTGGAAAGCTTGCCAAACCTTTTTCCAATGTTTGAGACAAATCGTTCTCATCACTCTCTTCGAGGCACATGGGGCACTTCACCTCACAGCACCCCTTCCCACAGCAGGTACAAGATACCAGAGCATCTGGAGTTCCTATGAACTCTGGATAATCTGCATTACAGAAACTACCGCAGTTGGTTAAGGTGAATTTTTGATGAGATTTCACCATTTGCTGTCTGTATGCAGCAAGGGCATCCTTCTCATGAATGCAACCATACCGCGTTGCTTCAGTGGTGAAGCGGCTATGATATGGATCAACAAGAGACTTGAGGAGAGACATAGAAATCTTACCCTCAGTAGAGGTCCTGCAAATAGCTTTAAATTTGGAAGCAGGTGCCCTACCTATTCTACGTTTGTAGAATGCCTTACCCTTCGCTTGCTTCCTTGTCTCTAATTCAATTTTGTCTATCTCTTCTTGAGACAGACTGAGGTCGACACCTGCTGCAATATCCCTTAACTCTTCAAGGCTCTTTTCTTCATGTGACTCATGGTACAGATCTTTCAAGGATTTGGGTCTTTTAGCAATAATTTGTGCACTAAACGGATTGACCAAAGTGTGAACCACACCTGGTGCACTTTTAAAGCATGCCTGTATCATTCTCTCATACTCATCATCAGAAAGGGCAGGGTACTTCGTGGTTGGAGCACGTACCACATGCTCTTTACCATGAATCATATTGTGCAGAAGCCTCTCAGGCGTTGTAAAATTAATGTGTCTAATACATGACATAGTTGCTTTGATGCGCTCTGAGGGGGGCCGCCAATAAGCGGGTTCATCTGTTACAGAACAGATTATACGCGACTTCCGAAATGTACGAACACAGAATAGCATGGCAGAAACATGCGAACATGCTTCTCCAAGTCCAGCCGCGCAATCACAGTGTGCACTTAAAATAATCCCTAACTTACTAACTATAGCCCACGGTCTTCTAGCAGGTTCCGTGGATCTCATTGACGGCTCAACCTGCAATGGAACAGGTGCATTGTTAGCAAACATTTCATAAGAGATGATACAAAATAGAAAAAATTAACTAAAACTTGTCCAGAGCATACTTACACGGCACCTCAGAATATAATTGCTTTTGTTTTGTATCCAGCGGCTTTCCAGGCTGGAAACTTTTTCACTGGCGACAAAATTGTTGCCAGCTCTCAGACTTTTCTCTGAGAGAAAATTCTCAAAAGTGTAAAAGCTACACTTATAAACTAAATAGTCTTGTATGCAACTAGACGTTATAGGCGGCATTGCCTCAATGGCAGAACTAAACCCACTTAGTAAAGCATAAGGATCAAGCCCACCAACATCCTCCAATTTCGATAAATAGCGTTCTTGCACGAGTCCACTGAGTGTCTCAAAATAGACAGACCTCTTCAGATGATTCATTTTGAACACAAATACAACCCATTCACTCGTATCAATCACATCACACTCATAACATTGCGGGGGGGTACGCCATTACGCGTCGCCACACCACGGCACGGCAAATGGCGTCGTCGTCATGGCAACCCCACTCAGCTACAGAGTCGATACCTCGAACCTGCGCCTATCGCTACTGCCCTATTTCGATTTCAAACTGTAGCCAACCTTCGCACAATTCGACATCCTACTACTGAGGAGGAACTGAGTTTGAAAGTGTCATTTGAACAATAAAAATGAAAATAATAATCAATTTTATAAAAACCCTTTCGAATTCAGGTGTTGCTGGGCTGTAGAAATGAATGTTCATTAATTTCTTTCTTTTCAATGTCACACAATGTGTTGTAACTCCTGGATCGCAAAACCATAATGTTTCCGCCATAGGAAACACGAAACAACTAACAACCTTGTTTAATGTCATTTTAAAAGTAAAGAAAGTGAAAATTTTGAAAGAAAGAGAAAGTTTTCATTTTGAAAATCTTGTGTTGTTTTTGTAGAAACAGTGGTATTCTCATTCTAAGGGGTAAGTTATTTGTGATTTAGTGCCGAAAGTTGTTCACTGTTCTCCGGGGTCAATTTAAAATTTACAATGGAAGTCGCTCTTTTGCGATGTTGTGTCTTTTTAACCCGTTGACAGCACCTTTTGACATATTGAAGGCGTCCAGGATAGGACACTTGTCGTGACAATAACGCAAGATTCATCAATAATCTGATAAGTGCGGAGGATTATCTCGGTGAACGCTTTTTCCCGCGTGTCTCCAGTTGCCCCCACCCGGCGCTTCGAACAGCTGCTAGTGCGCGACTTCCTCCGCAGTTTGAATTCTTCCTGTTTTCTTCTCTTGCCGTGCCGAGAGAAGGTAACTGTCAACTTTGTGATTGTGCCACACGGTTCGGATTCGGTTTGGCCCCGAATTTTTTGATTTGTTTGGAAGTTTAAATGGTTGAATATTGTTTGTGTTGTGCTGCCGTGTTTACAAGGATATAACTCACTGCCTGCATTATGGAGGAAGGACTTATCGCCATAAAATGCGGCACAAGTGTCGATATCAAAAGGACCGATGGTGAGTAGCCTAGGCTTTGTGCAGCCGACCCAACAACCCAATGTTCCGTACCCATTTTCGAATAGAAAACAATATTTTTGGCCCCTACTTGGTACTTTTAAAGGTCTTGGTGTTTATGAACTTAAGTTTTAAGTTGGGTTAAGGACCGTCGTTATCCAGGACATCTATCTGCTTAGGCCATTCTTGCTGTGTTTCGGTTCCCACGTTCAATTTACCCTGAGAAACAACCCTAATTACTGTATTGCGGAGCTTTTATGAATACAACAACTTTCTATCTCCTTAATAGTGCGTTCACTAACAAATTTTGAATTCAAAATCACACTTACTGAACTGTTACCTTGTCTCTTGAACCTAGAATAAGTAGGTTATATTCCCCTGAGATGCTGCTCCATCTATTTGAGCACCATTCTGTTTTATGGTCTCTATTCATTGTTTCCCAGATCTACCAAACTTCTCTAGTTATCACTTCATTATCTGTTCTCTATGAGGATGAGAGAGAAGATTTGACAGTATGTGCTGTTAGCAAAGCTAAATTTTAATTTAACATAAAAAGAGTAGTCATTTTTAAATATTTTTTAATTTGTCTATCCACTTTATTAGAACTCAAGTCATGCTTACTATTACTGAGTAATTAAAGTTAATTATTTTGACTCTGTCTTGTTTTAAAAATATTCATTTCTCTAAAAAACTTAGTTTTTTGTTTTTGAAGATATTTAACTTTATGTTGTGTACATTTTTCTTTGGACCTGGACTTGTAAAATGGGTAGCCCATATTAATCTGTGTGTGTATTATTACAAATCTTTACTGTTCGGTTGAACGTGAAATTTTTTAATGAAATAGTTTTTGTGCTTTGTGACTATTTAGGCAATACTACACTGTAAATTTCCAGTCTGGCCAGCAATTCCTGTGCTGACCTTTTTTGCGCTGTTTGTTCAGTTAGTCAATTCGTTTCCTCCCAAGTAGTCAGTTGGCCAACTTCTGCTCTCTCATACTTGGGCATTGAACGATACAAAATGAAGTGTGGATCGCTCAAATTGGTGGGTTGTTCCTTGCTAGGGTGTAATGTTTGTAAAGTCTCTACTTGCACCTTCTCCTTTTCCTCTCTACCCCCTCCCTCTTTCCCCTCTCGCCGCTAGCTGTACACTGCTCCACTCCTAATAGGGTGGTAAGCAAGGTGAACATCCAAGTCCACTGCCAGGTCAGGCCTGCTGACTCTGCTGCTGTGTAGTACGCGCCCTGATGGGGCCCTAGCATTTAGACAAATTCGGTTTTGGGTTCTTCAGTCTAGCAATTGCCTTCCTTGGAGAGCACATGTATAGGCAGAGCTTCAAAACAATTTCTGACTGCTATAATTGAATGAACATTTGTGCATTATTGTCAAAAGTGTTTTTATTACTTATACACTGCAGTTGAATCAGTTTTTTTTTCTACATATAATTTATAATTCTACTCTTAGCTTCTAGTCACACCCACATATCAAAGCCTATAAGCCAACCTAAAAATTTTCCTATGCGTTTGGTTTAGAGAATGTCTAGTGAGATATGACACTATGGGTGGCTTGGATAAAATGTGTCAATCAGGATGTAATATAGTGTCCCCACCTCCACCGTCCCACCACACCTGGCCCAGTCGCGGCTACGCCTGGCAGACAGGCCGTGTTGCCATCTGCTGTGCTAGCGCTGGGGCTGGGGGGGCCCCGGCTGCTCGGTGCTCCGACCAGAGCCACGGCTGGATTTGACCTCCATCTTCGGCAGGGCGGGCGGGCGGCGGCAGCTTTTGGCGGTGGGCCTTGTGGCTTATTTGAGGCCAGGTGGGGGGGATCCTATGTATATGCTTCTGCACTTGTTTGCCCTCCCCCGGCTCTTCTCTCTATAGCCGTCGCGCTCCAGGCTGGAGCAACTCGTCTCCCCTTTGCCCAACCCTCCTGGAGTCAAAATGGACCTAATCCGACCCCGAGTGTAAGGTTGGAAATTTCCAACATTTTCCGGAAAATTTCCGAAAACTCTCCGAATATAACTTCTAAAGTCTGGAAAATTTTCCATTCTTTCCGGAAATGTTCCGTTTTTCTTGGAAATTTTCCGGAAACTTTCCAACGCGTTTCCAACCCTATACCCGAGTGTCAAAGTTGTCCCGTCGCGGTCAAGTTATTACGAGGCCCACACAGTTTTGCACGCCGATAAAACGGCAATAAATTGAGGCTGTGGTCGGGGCGGTGTCGCGCCTCGGCTCGGGCCGCGCCCAGCCCGTCGCACACCGCGGGTAATGCAGGCTGGAGCATGGACTGGAGGCTGCAGGGCGCGGCGGCGGCAGCAGCAACAGCAGCTCCCGTGCTGGAGCCCCGGAGCCGGATGGAGCCGCCGCGGACGAGCGATCGCTTATGACTCTCTGGAGGCGCTAGATTACGTAGTTTTTTTTCCCTCGGTGGGCTATGTTGTTGGCGACCGTTGCCGAGCGCATAGCCTCCCGCGAAATTGGTAGCGCAGTCACCCGTTACGGTTTGGCG